GGAACATATTTCCTTTTATAGGGAACAAACTGGTACTTCTAACAATGAACTACTGAGTACAAAGGTTTGTTTTGGCCTCTGATGAGCTGTTTGTTTCTTTTGAAACTTATTCCTTCTAATTATAATGAGCACGGTGTAATTTTTGTGTGGCAGCAAGCAGTTTTACAGAAATCATACCAATGAGCAGAATAGACTCCAAAGGAGAAAACACATCTCTTTTACAAGATTTATATTTCCTTGCAGTATTTTAGGTCACTTTTTCTGGTCTGTCTTGCTGCACAAAGGGGATGATGTTTTCTGGGGCGTGAGGCTTCAGTGGTTCAAAAATCTCCATAACTAAGGACACAGAGGTCACAGTGGAGTCAGAACTGTTCCCAAACTTAAGGCCCAGAATCAGAGCCTGTGATCCTCTTGCCAGTTAGTGCAGTAGTACAATGTTTGTTTATATTCAGTTTCTATGCATGCAAAATAGTAAAAATATTTTTCTTTTCATAGCATCCTTGATTAGAAGATCCAAAAGCACTGTACAAATACTAATTCCAACACCATTTTCAAAAGATAGGTAAGTGATAGTTTACTGAGTCTTCATGAAATTGAAGTCAAGGAAAGGGAGATGTGAAGTGACATGCAAAATTTGCATAAAAAGCCCCTTCAGGTTAATGTGAACTGAATAATCTATTTTTTTCTAGAATTTAGGTTCAAAAAAAAATATATGGTTTTTTTCAATACCTCCAAGTATTCAATCATTCAAAACTTTAAAATTTGGGGCACTTATTTGTAGTTTAAATACCGTAATGTAATAAGAACAAACCTGTGAGATTAGTCTTCTTTTAGTTAATAACCTACTATCCTGTGACTATCACAAATATGACAGGTAGAATATGAATCTATGACAAGTTACTCTGATTTTTGTTGGTGTTAAAACTTCAGGATTGTTTTGTTGCTGAGACTTCACTACAGTTTTGGAGACTAATAACAAGTAGATATTTCAATGAAACTTCTATCTGTATATTTGATGGTTAATAACACAGAACATTTTGAAGGAGGGCCCTTGGTTTGTGTCCCGTTGGAAAAGGGTAAATGGAGTGCTTCCAACTCATTTATCGAGGTGATTCCTGTGAAGCCCAGAACACAACCCCTGTTCTCCCTAACCACAGTTGCTCCAATCTTTTGGAGACAAGGACAAAACTGATCTAATTTGTAGTTCCTATCTGCAATATTGCTCATCGTTTCTCAGGGTCAGAAATCAGCTGATTGATTTTCTGCTTATCCTGTCGCTTTGATGATGTATCTCTTGATAGCATATTTTGTTAGAGTTCATTATTTCTGTCTTTTATCACTTACAAGCTCTACTGAAAATTATAGAATACACCTGGGGATGCAGAGTCTATATTTCTGAAAGGCAGAAATGAACTGTCTGGGAAAAGTGTTTTGTTGGTTTTTTTCTTGCTGTCCTGGTGAATTCCTGTTCATGGGTTTCAGCTTTCTGTGTTATAAAGATCACCATAATGATAATATAACTATTTATCTTTGAATTTTACCTGAATTGTGCATAATTTATTCCTTATAATAGACAAAAATCTTCTACCACTAGCTCTTATTTTAAACTAATGACTGGCTTCAAGGCAAATGCAAAAATAGACTTTATCACTTAGTCTTCTGAAGTGACTGGCATATTTCTCCATGTGCTAGTGTTGAGGAGATGCTGATGAATGAACAGCCGAAAATTTCAATGCATATAATAATTTGCAGAGAAGTAAATTCTCTTTCTCCTCAAGGAAAGAACTTCGGAAGAAAAATAGCTAAAATGTTGGTGTTCCAAGGCCAAAATCTCTTTAAAAATACACATGGATCAGAATAAAAATAACCAAGAAAAGATGGCTTCGTGATGGTCTCAGACAGAAAAGTAGGTATGCAAGGAAACTGCTCTTATATTCTGTATTTTTAATATCAATTGAAATTTGGAATTTTTTTCTCATCAAGTTTGGTTTCTAATGTTATCTTCAATAACTGATATATATTAAACCAGCAATAGGCTGTGTATTCCTTTTCCTATGAAAGTTAGAATTTGTCTTCCACATTCTTTTGCAATCAGTATTCAAATGTTCTCTGTTCCTTGTTTTCCTTTTGCAACATATTATATTAAAATCTATGAGGTCATGACCTTAGTTATTGCATTTCAAGTATCCTGTAGACAAGAAACTTCCTGAAAAGAACAATATGTAGTTTTACTGCCAAGTAGGTAAATCATCAGAGTGAAGTCTCCTTGCTTCTGATGAATTAACTGAAAGATGGTGGCAGGCTTTAATCTGCTACTGTATGCTATGTGAATTCATATTAAAAAAAAAAAAAAGAAATTAAAAAAAAGGCAGATTCTCACTAAAAAAAATATTCTCACAAATGACAACAATCAAATCATCCTCGTATCAGTTGAGAATTTGGATTGGAAAATAATTAGCTCTTTAGGAAGCTGATCACTCAACAGTGTCAGGTCTCAGATGACAAATCTATACATAAAAGCATTGTTATACATATTTTTATAATATATTGAATAGAGTGAAGTCAGTATAGGCAGTCCTGAAATAGTTTAGGTAAAAAATACAATGTAAACAATTTTGCTCCTTTTTTTTTTTTCAAATTTCTTTCTAAATTCTTGATTCTGCATACAGATCTGGAATGTTGGGACCTTTTAACTGAAGTCAACATATAGGGCTGAAGTGTTATTTCAGGCATTAAATAGGAAATTGAAGTATGGAAAAAGGAAAACATTGAGGAAGGCATGGCTGAGTAACTGGATAATTTTTTGAGGTACTCAAACTATCAATTGGTGCAACATGCATGTTGTACTGCAGCCTCTACTCTAGTGTGCTTTAGCCAAACACCATCTTGACAGCTTGTTCCAGCTCAGTGCTTTTCACTATTCCTTTGTTAAATATAATAAGTGCTTTTTCCAAATGAAAGAGCATTTGTACATGCACTGCTCTGAGTCCACAGTGACCTTCTGCCTCTGTTCAGGTATTCTCTGCATATTTCTTACCATAAAGTCATAACACCTTTCCAAGTAACTTATGTAAAAAACAACCATGACATCACAGTAAAGTAAATGAGCCACAGTGGCTGCTGCTGCAGCTGCAACCCCAGAATTCCAGGAGAAAATCAGTATTCCACAGGAAGGGCCCTGATATTTGAGAAGGGGAGTGGAAGAAAGGAAGAAGAGCCAAGTTTGCACAGTTTCAGAGAGACACAGGGATGCAGCTGTGTAACTTTGATTCATGCTAAGGCTTACTGTGAACTGCATTTACTGAATCTTAATAGGCACTGATTAGATTTTTCTTCCAAGGAAATATTTTTTGTCATGTGATCCAAATACACAGTTTGGGATCAGTTTCTCAGCCAGGATGTACCAGACTAGCTCTGTTAACTACAGTGGAACTCCAGTGCTTGCATAAGGTGGAAACCTGTCCCTTAAGAGTATCACACTGCTGTGGGAGACCTGATCAGAACAGAATTCAGAAGAGAGAGATGCAAATATATTAATCTAAAACACAAGACCAAAATATAATATGCTAACTTCAGATTATGGCATAGCAGCATGACCCTAAAACAACATAAGTACTTCTTATCTCACTTCTAGAGAAGGAAAAAACTCTACACATATTGTACATAGTGGCTGTAGATTTTCATGAGAGCCTGAACTAAATTTTCTTCAATGTCACATTGAACAGTTTGACCTTGTGGACTATCACAGAATCACAAGGAAACTCTCAATACCATCTAGTCCAACATCCCTTCTTGAAACAGGGGCAGCAAAGAGCAGGTTGCCCAGGATTTTGTTCAGTCAGGTTTTGGGTGTCTCTGGGGACAAAAAGACTCCACATCCTCTCTGGACAACCTATTTTAGTGTTAAAATACCCTCACAGAACAAAGAGGCTTTTGTTATGTTCAGGTGAAACTGTGGGTTTCGGTTTGTGCCCATCACCTGTTCACCTGTTATTAGGCAGTCTTGTTTACAGCCTCCCAGCAGGTTTTTATAAACATTGATCAAAGCCATCCTACCTCCCAAAGGTTTCTCCTGGCCAGGCCAAACAGTCTCAGCTCTCACCTGTCTTTTGAGGTTTGACTTCCTCCAGACCCACTTTCTCAGAGCTGCAGACACTCCTTAACTCAGATATATGCACTCCCCTCTGCTCCAAGGACACTTCCTTACTTGAATTTAAAACCTAAGTATTCAATTATAATATGATGGAGACTGAAGAATTTACAAAGGAAAATACTATTTATCTGTGGAAATATATATACTGTTAACCACAATTAAAACAAAAAAAATAATAAACTCCAGTTTATTATTCAATAATCTGAACAACTAGTCATAAACAACACCATTTTTATGATAATTTCAGTGTTTTGAGTATTTTAAGATTTAAAATATTTTAATATTTCATGAGAATATTTACAATCCTATGAAGTGCTGTAATAGAATTAGAAATTCATAAAGTATAATAAAATCCAATTTTTGTGCAATATTTATTCACACTATTTTAGAAAATTAAGGCTACTTATGCCTAGCTATAGCAAATACTGTAAAATGTGTGTTCTGACTATGTGACTGTTAAAATATAAAAAACGCGTGAACTTTCTGTATTCCAATTCAGATCATTTGCAAGTACTAAAATCAAAGTTTAAGAGCTCCAAAAGTATGTCCTTAATAAAGTATTGCACTGAGTTATTTCTGGAAAAGATGGCATCCAGAAATTTGTTTAGGCTGGAGACAGCTGCATACAGCAGATAGCAGCTGAGGAAATGAGGGTGAGGAAATGAGGGTAAGGGAACAGTTCTAATATTTCTCTTTTCCATCTCTGTGTGTAGAGAGGGAGAAGGAATTTGTCGTCAGTATTTTACTGCTCCATCAATTGATTGGCTTTGCTCCAAGAGCAACATGGGAGGAGCGAGCAGCAAAAGTGAAACACGCTTGCAGTGAGGGAACAGGAGCAGAAGAGTAATTTAATTCAAACCAAACCATTTCTTTTACTTTTGGGAAGAAAAAGCTGAATTCAATGCCTGTTCTTTAAAATATTTTTCTACTGAAATGGAACTTCTCTCTGTAAAAGGTAGGTTTTTCTTCTCATAGAAGCTCCTTCACCCATGTGACAAATATTTAGTACGTGGCTATAAGAAGCAACCTCATAGACTGGAGATGTGCATTGTTTAAGCTGATAACAATATTTCTTGCAGTACTTCCTTCCAGGGAAGTCAAGTAAATGCAGTGTGTAAATTCTGCACTCTTGTAGTGCAGTTGAGCTGCTGCAGTGTTTAGACTCTGCTGGTAGCTCAGCAACATTTTGGCCCTTCACCATTTGTGTTAAAAGTGAAAGCTTTGTCAGTGTGAGAATGGTGGAATTATTCAGGCTGTCAGACAAACAGTCTGCAAATATGCAATTCCATGGCATTCTTAGGGACATTTGGGACATTTAGGGAGAGATGAAAACAAAAATAAGTAATAGGTAGGTAGGTGAAGTTAAGCAAGTGGAAAGGATATTGGAAAACAATGGCAAGCTTTTGGGAACCTTTGCATTGTAAAGTTTTGGACTTTTTGTCTTATTGGCAATTACTACGGTCCTAAATGTAGCAGTAAAATATACCATGTACACATGAGTGTATTGGTAGAGCAATTAATTAGTGTAGGACTGCAGTGATGTTTCACTAAAATTAAACTGAACTGTTTTACATGCATTGATATGGCAGGAAAATTTAAAGAATATTTAATTATGTTGTTTAAAAGTTTAAATTTAATGACCTTTAGGAGTCAGATACTTGATAAAAAATTATGTCCAGGTTAGATTTTCATAATTATGATGATATGAATCCTAATTCTATTCGTTTAAGGGCATTTTTCATTAATGGAAGTGATACCATAATGTGGAACTTAAGGTTGCTGAGCAAAATAAGGATTTGAAATGTTCACCGTTTATTTGGTAAGGTGTTTACTGAAGTACATCCTTTCTAACAGCCTGAGTAAATACAATGTAATAAGGGATTCTTTGTAAGATGATAGAAGCTAATTTAGATTATATACAGTCTGTGAGCCTTCTGTGTCTGTTGGGGAGAATTTTGAACTAGCATTAGGAGGTGATGAATAGCACACTACCCTTCCTGGACACCTGCTCTCCATTCTGCCCTCTGTGTTGTATCCATGTATTTATTAGTTCTTGTAAGGTGCAAAGAGTTTTCACGTGTTATCTTTCCCAAAGAATTCTGAGAAATCATATTATTGTCCCACAATGAGGTTTACATTTTTCATTTTTGATTGAGTTTTTTTATACCACATAGGTCTTTTAGATTTTATTTTTCATAAAATCCATTGTCAAGCATTGTTAAGGTATTATCTGAAAATAACATATATTTTTTTTATACAGTGAAAAAAGGAAGGTTGGATAAAATGACTGGTAAGTCTGATTTCCCTTCAATTTCTGCTTTACATTTTTCTTTCTTAGGCATGTCTGTGTCATGCTAAAAAAATCACCTAAGCTTGGGACTACTTTAGTACATTTGATCAACAGTTCAATAAAAATAAATAAATGTGGAAAGAATTAAAAATTATACATATGTTTTAGAGATCGAATTGTCTTTATGAGGTTGTGGCCTTGTAATTTTAAGTTATAAATTATTGTCTCACAAACTAGTGATATATAAAGGATATTCCCACTAAAGCAATTTTTTACATAATTTGGTGACCTAAATGTGTCATCAGTCAATAGAAACCATTTTTTTATATAAAGAGAGTGCAGTATTTTAGTTTAGCCAGGATGTGGAGGAGATTGTATCTGAATTTTCCCAGAGAGGAAATACAGGTTGGAGCTACTGATGGCCAGTTATAGAGAACAGGTCTGTGCCCCAGCCAACAACGGGAGCAAAGCCAAGCTGCCCAGAGCTCTCTAAGCCTGATTACAGGACCAAGATTTAGCCAGGATGGAAAAGAACGTCCAAACTCAGCCAGAGGTTTCTCAGACAGAGATGGACTATAAATTTAAGGCCTTCAAGATCTCTGTAATTACTAGTTCTCAAGAGAAGCTGATACACAACCTAAGCAGTGCAGCAAAATTTGCTAGTAGATGTCTGGTTAATACATTTAAGCAAATTCAAATTGTTTATAGTTATCTGAATTAAAGGTAACCTTAATGGGCACAGATCAAGCTGCTGGTTCTTGACACTTCTAAGAGCAGGCTGTGAAATCTGTGTTCAAAGTATGGACTGAAGAATCTTCTCTTTTTCATTGAAACCCTAATGCAGTCAGAAAAATGTTCTGCAGGGTTCAGGAAATCTTATATTTTGTTGATGCTCAAAAGAGGTGATAATTTACAGAATATCATTATCAAACAGAATAATTTGTTGAAGGTAATTTCAAGTTTCTTTTGAATGCTGTTGAAGACTTGTTAAAGCCATAAATAATGACAACAAAATTTGAATGATAATTGGTCATGTTTTCTGGGGCAGCACCATTATGCAGGTGGTAACTGAGAGCAGCCTTGAAATACTCTCATGTTTCTCAGAATTCTGTGATTCTCCTGTAGTTTGTTTACTCCTTTGTGTAAACTGCTATGAAGCTTTTTTGCTGTGTTTTGGGTTGAAAGCTGAAGGTCTAAGCAAGTGGAAAAGCTGCTGTTTCCCAAAAAGTTGCACTACATGCATCTATTTTTTGCCAGCTGAGGGGCTGCAAGCCACAGTAATGGCATCATGGAAACAAAACTGCTTATCATGAAGCAAAACTGACAGCTCCTTTCCACTGCCAGGGTATTTTAATTATATTCACCCTGGACAGTGTTATTCTTCAAGGAGGTTATATACTCACAGTTATTTACAAGGTACAGTATCTTTTTCTTACTTGGCACAACTCATGACATCTAAAGAAGGTGAATTAGTTGTAAAGCACTGAAGGTAGTATTTAGACCCAGAGAAGAGCCAAAGAAGCCAAGGAACTACTGGAAAAATAGCTATTTTAAAAAGCAGATGACAGGGTTTCAGGCAAGACAATAGTGCAAACAGTCCAAAATATTTGTATTTTTTGTGATAGCAAAGGAGGTGAGGAAAGGTACAAGGTAATTAGGTTTGGTCATCTGGTCTGGCATGTGAAATTAAAGTTAAATATAAAGATAATATAATAATGAAAAAGACTACTACTAAAATGTATTTTAATTATGAGGAAGGTTGGTTATTGTATTTTTAATTTACATGAGTGCTCTACATGGCTGTGGGTTGCTATTTTTCAGCCAAGTCATTTAGAATTCTTTTGAAAATTCTCCAGCCTTGAGTTGCAGCTAAAAAACAAAGTCCTGTTTGAGTGGACTGGTGCACTGAATTATAGAAAATAAACAGATAACATTGGCCACTGTTGAATGTGTTTATTGAACAAAATAGTTCCTGTTACATGATATCTTTTGTCCTTTGGTCAAACATTATAATCAGTCCTAATCAATAAGATCTACATACAGGATGTACACAGCTAACTCTTCACACTTTTTGTTAACTGCAGTGTAATTTGATACAACCTATTCAATAATCTGTTGTAGACAGTGACACCTTCCCTGCAACTCAGACTGTTTGATTGACCTGTTGTAAAACACACAGCTCAAAAATTCTGTTCTTAGCTACCTCTTGTATATATATTTTGGCAGTAGTTCTATTAAAAAAATAAATTTTTTTCAGTCCTGTGTCAATGTTGATCCTTATCTAGGATGCTGGAGGGTAGTGAAGGATGTGTTACCTGCATGCAAGTGGAAAAACCACATTCATTGAGATGATCTAAAACACCTTTTACTACCTTAGATTCCTGTATGAGGCCCTACATGATAGAGCTTTCCCTCACTTCTTTTGCCTTTTTCTGGCAGGGATATTTTCAAGCCCTTTGAAATTTTTAAAATTTTATTCTTTTTGCTGTTTGAGTGCAATTTATGAATATTCATACTGTGGTTTTACAAAGGCATTTACAAAAATACGTGAGTTCATTTGAGGTTGCATCTGAAACCCATTTTGCTGCTGCATCTCCATCAGAATCTCCATTAGATTCATGCACCAAGACTGAATTACATATTAAGTCTGTGGCCTTGCCTTAATCGGACATAAAAACCCATCAGCCAATCATCCATATTATCATAGCAATGGAAAGGCAAAGAAAATCATAATTTTCAGGAAAGGAGTTGTGTGCTGGTTTCATGCAAGAGCTGTCAGGGAGATTGATAAACAGTAAAAAGCCATGTCTGGAAACTGATCTTTAAAATACTCACATGTAGTGAGACGTTCTCTCCCACCTGTCAGGGACAGAGATTTTTCTGTCATAATCCCATTAGAATTAATAAGAATTTTCTTGTTCAAATCCACATATTTGAACCACACCCCTGAATGTTTTGTATGGAGTAAGAGTTAAACCCTTACTGCCGTGGGGTTAAATGTTTCCAGCTTCTGGAAAGAACTGAAGTGGTGTTTAATGTGCTGGTTATTTCTTTTTCAGATGCATCCAAAACCTATGTTGTTTTAAAAGTCCAAAATTTGAAAAGCACTACAATTGATAGACGAGGAAGTGACCCTTGCTGGGAGCAAGACTTCATGTTGTAAGTAACAGGGAATTCTTATCAATTGATTTTGTTGTGTCTTTGCTGTATTTGTGTAGTTTAGAACAGGTTAGTACATGCAAGGCTGTGTACACACCACAAAAGCAAGAGGTGTCCAGCTCAGAGAAAAGCTCTAGCCCTGGGGAACAGAACTAAAGTTTTGCAGGGTACATTGCAGAACAAGGCCAGGAGTCAACAAGGGGAAGAATTTGTCTCCAAATTTGATTTCATATAATGTTTTAGGAATACAGGAATGAGAATAAAGAGAACTCAAATTGATCCTCAAGCATCTTGATTTTTGTTCACTCAATTTCCTTTTGGTGTGACTCATATTTTTATGCATTCATTTATCTCCTTAGCTGCCAATTTAGGTAGTTTCTTTATCATTGACCCCAACTCTTTCTCACTTCTGTCTGCAGATCTCTGTCTGCTCCACTCAGCTCTCCATCTCGTTATTCTGTTGTTATTGTCCTCTTTTCTCTAGAGCCTCCCACACACCTCACTGGTCAGGAGGTCCAAGCATTTGTAAGCTGCCTGACACTCTAAGGACACCTGCTTCCAACTGTCAATTCCAAAGCAGTTAAACCCAATAAATATAGTCTAATTAGATCCTGAGTCAGTACATTCATCTCCACCATTTTTGGTCCCTTCTTTTTTCCCTGCACAAATTTTTCTCTGTCACCACATTCCTGTTGTGGGAACATAAATTTAATTCCTGAGGTCTAGAGTTGCTTGAAAATTTTTTTCAGAATTCAACATTTAATTTGCTGTAGTTCTTTTTAGGAAAATACCATTTTAATAATTTTGTGTGTTTTCTAATCCAAGTATTTTAATATTTTGTCAGGCACAAGACTTGTTTTGAAAAAATTTTTTTGTATTTTCTGGTTCCCTGAAGAGTGTGTCAAAATATTATTTAATACATTTCCTTTGCGGTTGTTTAAAAGGTTTTCTTTTGATCATATTATATATAAATGAGGGTTATATGACATCACTGAAAATGAGCAATTTATTAGGATTATTTTCTTAGTTGGCAATGTAAATCTTGTCAAAAAATACTAAAGCACTTTCTAGCATGTTACAAGGTTGCTGTAGCTCCATCTACTGCCTGCTTCTCTATACAACAATGCAGACTTTTAGAAGGGATTATAAGTAGACATTTACAAATGCATTTAAATAGTTTTTGGTGAATCATACTGTAGTTCATTTTCTTAAGAGCTTCACTCCATCTCTCACAGTAAAAACTATGTTCTGTTTCACACAGATATTACCAGCTTGCATTTCAAAAATTGCATATTTTTTAACCTTTCAATCTTCACTTTCATTGTTGTTGGTACAACAGTTTTAAAGTTGGGGTCTAAAAATATAGACTCTGTCTTCCATAACATATTTATAAAGAGAGAAGCTGAGCAAAACAAAAATTCAATATATCTATTCAACTGCATGAATACAGCAGATAAGTAGGCACTGATGCAGCCAACATAATGATTTCTGAGAGTGAAGTGATGAGTTAAAAAATTGTCTCATAGGTGGCACCCCTGGCCCTCCTCAGATTTCATTTGTTCTTTTCCTGATAACTTTAAGTACAAAGTAATTCTCTGTGGTTCACCACACAATAACTTGAAGATTATTTTAATAAAAATTAATTCAGTCAAATGAAGGCTATGTGCAATCAGTCACAGCAGAGACACCAATGCCTAGTATTTTATGACTATATAGGAAAAAAACCACCTCTCTATCTCCTGTAAGTCACTAACTTACTATTGTAGATTATTGAGCAGTGGAAACTGCATTTCCAGTTTCAGTTTAATGGTTTCTAAATTCATTATTTTTAGTGAAATCTGTGCTGATGGAAACGGCTTCATTGTAGAGCTGTGGAAGAAAGGCTTGCTGTGGGATAGCATTTTGGGAGTTTTATGGATTCCCCTTGCAACTGTGGAATATGCAACAGATGTAAGTTGACTTCCTGTGGAGTTATAGAACACTGAGTAAAATCTAACAAATTTCTCAGTCTCCCCAAATACTGTAATGACATTTATGATCAGTTTACACTTCTATCTCCTCTGCTCCAGTCTGCAATGGTAAGGCATAATGTGCATGTGACTCTTGAAGTGACAACTGAAATGCATTATCCAAAATCCTGGAGAAATGGCTGAGATACTGAGCCAGGTATTCTACAGGCAGTCAGTTAATTCATCTGCACTCATGAACTGTTAGGGAGGCAGGGGTGGTTTGGTTTATATGATTAGAGTGAAAGAATTTTACATTAACTTTCCAGGCCTGGCTCTTCATTGTGTGACTTTGGGAAAATCTCTATTAAAGGGGGCAAAACACTGTTGTTCTTTCTCTCAAGGGAATTGGCCATTGTCTCTGAGAGGAAAACAGAAATTTGCCCTGGTGGAACTACAGAGGAAATTAATGAGTGTATAGAGAAGGATGAGTGGAGAAATTGGGTCAATACCAAGAGTTATGTATCCAGCATAGTCAGTTGGCCACCAGAATGAGCATACTTGCCCTCAGTAGGATATCAAATAAGGAAAAAAGGTTTCTGGGAGTGTGGAAATACAGAAGCAAACTGCCTGTGTTGCAGAGTTTTCTGAATTCAGAAAAGGTAAAAGGTACCTTATTCTAATATTCCACAATTCTCCCATTCATAAATGTGCTATGCTACACGTAGTCCATGGAGTCTGTTTTTTAAGTAACTCAGACTTACAGAGGATTAATTTAATATTTGCAAAAGTTTTTGCCTTCTTTAATTTTTCTAAAACATTTTGAAGATGAGGTAAAGGAGAGAAAATCAGAAAACCACTTCCTACAGTATCTCTCATCAGACCCTTCAGCAATTTCTTTACAGGAAATAATAAATATTCATATATACATTGAACTGACATTTCAATGATTCTATTCAGAAGATGGAAGCAGGGGAAGAAAGTAATTCCTTCTTAAATTAGAAGTTGCTCTGTATCTCAGCTGCCAAGTGCCATTTCCAGCCCCAAGGCAAGTTGTTCTGCTCTGCTGCCCTGGCTGTTGTTGAGTTACAACTTGCTGACACAGAGGTTGTGGCTTACTAGTAAATATTGAAACTTTAAACAAACAAAGATGAAAGATAAGAGAATTTTTTCTTAATTTCTTCATATCCTCTAAACCTTCATTTATAATTAATCCACTGCAGAAGTTTCCTACTTATTTATCCTGCTTGTCTTAGCCCTGCAGTTCTGTTCTGGACTTTATACCTCAGAAATAAACTATAAGGGAGCATTACTTCAGAAATAAGTTTTTTGGCTTTGTTATTAGTTTATATGGATTGTTTCAGTCTTTCTACAATGTACTTATTTGGCACCAGTTCAAAGGGAAACTGGAAAATCTGAATTGAGAAGTGTAATTTTCAATATTCATATTTCTTGTGTCTTAATCATCTGACAACCTTGATGTGTATTCATCTATATTGTAGAACAAATGTTATATTATTTTGAATTCAATGACTGTGAGAAAACTTGATGAAGTCCTAAGTAATACTTACACAAACAAATTTGGAAGAGTCTAGAATGTATATCTAAACATATTGATGGAGATTCCAGTTGACTCAGGGGATACCTCATCCAGTAAAAAAGTGGATAATGCAATAAATCTTGCCCTGCTAATTTTCATAACTTCTTTTTCCTAGGAAGGCCCAGGTTCCTGGTGGACATTGCATTCTGAAGTAATAAAAAATGGAAGTGAGATTCAAGGCACAAAAACACCAACTTCCCATGAGATCTTATTAGATGTCTACTTTGCATTACCATTTGGTGAGTTACAGATTAAGGTCTCTCTCCAGCATTCCAGCCATTCTGTATTTCACTAACAGTGGAATGTCCATTATAAAAGGAGAAAAAAAAATGGTACAAACTGTACTTCTATTGCACAGGTAGCCCAGAGAAGCTGTAGATGCCCCATGTCTGGAAGTATTCAAAGCCAGGTTGGATGGGACTTTGGGCAACTTGTGGTAGTTGCTCCTGTCCATGGCATTGGGGTTGGGATTAGATGATCTTTAAGGTACCTTCCAAATGACACCCAATGATTCTTGAAACCTCCTTTGAATCAGCAGAATATTTTAGGTATGTCCTTACATAGTTTTTATATCTAGAAATCTACTGTAAATCTGTTACAGGAACTCTAATTGTGTAAATTCAGGTTGTTACCAATTTCAGGCTGATACTTGGAGGGAGTATTGGTTTGTATGTTCAAGTTTGGTTTCTGTTTTAAATAAATACATTTGAAAGAGTTCTAAAGACAGTCCCTGGGACTGCAGTGATGGAGCGCTGTGGAAATCCTGTAGAGGTCACTCTTACACTGTAGTTTTCTGCATAGAGGAAATCATCCAAAAGAATTATGTCTCCATTATTGAGAAAGCCACGTTTACCCTCTACCTGGAGTTTCGCTTGGACATTACATCTTGATTGCTTATTCTGTTGAATGGCTCTCAGCTCAGCTGGGAGCACCTGAGGGTCTGTCCTGGGCTGTTGGACTCAGTACAGCCCTTTATTATGAGACATTACACTGGGAAGGTAGAAGGCTGCAGTTACTTTTGACAATTCCTGAAAGATGTCTATCTGAGAATGACACATTCTGCTTTACCAATATGAATTCGTTTGGACTTGAAGCACTTGCATGTAATGACAGGGAGGCGTTTTCACTTCATTAGCTCACCATGACTGATTTTTTCTAGAAGTATCGTCTGACGTCTGACGTGGTAGCAACAAAATTGCCATTTCACCATTGCCATCTATACTAAGCTCCATTAAAAGGCTGTTAAGTAGAATGAGGATCTCGTATATTTAAAATTCTGCAAGCAAAGTCACAGTAATAAAATCCTGTTAGGATAAATACTACAGCTGGATTGCAAACATTTTTGACGTGTCTAAAACTCAAGTTTTTTTAAAGATAATCAGAGTTTGTTATAAAATACAATAATTTTACTTCAATATTATTTGGTCTTTCTTGTAAGAGAAGAAAATTTACAGGACGTATCTTTTATTTTTCTTAAATTCAGCATTAGAGACATACAGCATGCTTCTTAACATTCCATTACACCTTACATAAAAAGTATAAGAAATTAAAGATCACTTTAGGGAAGTGAAATGTAATTGGTAATAGCTACAATTCTGAAAATCATTTATGTGTCTTAGGAAGATCTCATTTTGACAAGTAGCCCACTAAAAGTAAACAGAATTTTTAACTGATGAATAATTTTGGAACATACCATGCAGGTGTTCACCTCTTAGACTTGGCTGAAATTCAGCTCATTATCAAATTTTTCATATACATTAATTAGCAAATGAGTAACAATAATAAAGGAACAATGATGAGATTAATCCCTGTTTCTGCATTAGTCACCACACTAAGTCACCAAGGGATTAGCAAATGACAACATTAATTGTTCTGATACAATTTTGATCAGCATAAACCAAGGTCCTGAAAAATCACAATGAAGTGATTGGGAAAACCCATGTGTCAAAGTAGAGAATTCTAAGTAGAGACCACTTTAGTTAGTGTAATAATTCACATATTATAAGTATATATTACATATATTACATATATTACAACCTACAACCTGTATATACTTACAACCTAAACATATACTTCCATACTTCCATAACCTTGCATATACTTATAACCTAAAAGTTGTTATTAACTTATGCAATAGGAAAACCAAAAGATCCTGTCGTTTTCCAAAGTATTATCTCTATCTTCTCCTTGTTTCACAACAGTGTTGCATTCACTTTGAGTAAAAGATATGACACAAATTTTTGGCAGTTAACCTGGTGTTAGTAAACAGTGTGAGAGGAAATAAAACATAGTTCCTAATATGCAACAAAACTTTAAAAGAGAAAAGAAGGAAAGAAAAGGAGAAAAGACATGGGCACCCAAAATTTTCTCATCATTATGGAAGAAAATGTCCTCAGTCAGGGTTAGGTCATGAACCCCTTTCTCTCCAGCTATTAGGATGATTTATAGGGCAAAATGCTCTGCAGGAAATCAGTTTGAACCTCCGTTTGCAGGTGAGACTTCCATGTTTCTCCCAAGAGCTAAGAACTTGGGGAAAAAAAAAAAAAGCAGTTCTAGGCCAATAGCATGTGGAATTAAAGTGGAGCCTGATTCCTTACATAAAACACACACTAAAAACCCCAACACAACTCAAACCCAAACAAACAAAAAACCAGATCTCGGAAGGCAGTGCATGGACACATAAGAAACACAGGGCAAGTTAAGAATTGAAGTTGGACTGCAAAAATTAAGAGATCAATTTCCTTCCCAACCCATCAATAGGTAATGTTTAAACTGTACAATGAAATTTATGTAACAAAAAGGTAACTGGTTTTTCTGGCCTTTCTAAATTTTCAGAGCAACAATCTGAAGATCATCTTGGAACTCTATTTCTGCTGTTCTCGTAATAAGTGACTTAATCATTATAATGTTTGTAATTGACTTCATTAATTCCCTATTACTGTAAATTTAATGAATTAAGGTAATTAATTTAATGTGTACTTCCTCCTTTGAGAAGTAAAATGGGCTGAAAGATTTCTAGCACCTTTTTCCTTCTCTACAGATACCCACAAAGACTTAGATTGCAGAGCCTGGCACAGAGGGCCACCCCTCCAAAGTACAAGACCTTCACATCAAGATACATCTGATATTTGGTCACCCATGCAAAGTGGTCTCAGCACACAAGAGAGCAAACAAAGGTATTTTACCTTATCACATCAGACATGTATGATAACATTTGTGGGTTTTTTTAAATGTCTGAATGCCAGAGTGATACTTTACAATCATTTTAAGCAAGAATCTTACTTATAGTTTCATGAACTTATAAACCCATAAGGGGTATATTTCCTTATTGTGGTGGGACAGAGCATGATAAATCTTCATATTCTAATAAAAGAAAAACCATGAAGGATACTGTCTCCTGTGAAAACAGTTTGCAAACCTGTGCCTTCTCAATAAATCTTTGGTGATAAGTAGAGAGGATTTTAACCTACAAAAAATGTAGGCATTGAAGAAAAGGCAACCAAACTTATATTTGGCTAATTCGTACAAGAGAAGAATATAAACTATTAATGATGCAAAAGGGGTAAATACCACTCTAGACTGTTCTGCAGCAGATTGCTGTGTATATATATACATGGCTTCAGAAGTACAGGTGGATTGATTCATTGATGGGTGTTCATTTAAGGTGATGTTTTAAAGGATAATGTTTTAAAGGTAATGCAGGTATTAATTAGCTTTGCTGTGTTCTTTTATGGCAGACACGTGTCTATCTGTCCTGTTCTCACCCTTGGACATGTGTCTACATAGAGTTCACCTATTCAATAGTGACTTTCTGAAAACTTATGAAGTGAAGCAAGTCCTGACATGATTTAGAGATTGCATCTGGAAAGCAGGAAAGACATTTGATTCTGTTTTTGAAGCTAATACATTTACTTAGACAGGGTACTCTCACTTCTGCAAGTTTTTCAGAAGAGAATTAGTATTTTCAATCTATTTCCTTTGAGCAAACACAAATGCTGGGACAAAAATTAAAAAATAAGGAAAAGATAATTTCTGTCTTTCTGCTTCCCTTAGTGTGGAAAATGATGATGCATAAAGAGAGGAAAGGGCAAGGTGGCAACAATTGTACTACTTTGATGCCATCACCTTCTGCTGAGTGGAGTTGAATGCTCAGGAGGGAGTCCAGTCAGCCTCTGAGACACCTCTCTGAGCAGAGAAAGCCTTCTATGCCTTGCTATAATCACTTCCCTTCTCTTGCAGAGGCAAACTGGGGAGACAAAAAGTTTTCTCTCTGTACTGCTCTCTTTGGCTTTCATATCAGCTGTCACAGACTGTATTGCATTTCATTATGGTGTCCTTTATCTATGGTAGTGCAGGAAAGACACTGTGAGCAGCTGACACTCAAAAAGGTGTTTCTTGATGAAGGGTGGAACAGGCTCTTGAGAGAAGCAGCAAGAATATATGTTGTGTCAGGCACTTGACTCGTTTAAATTGTGTCTAACAGCAGTGGTGCCAGAAAATTAGCTCAAACACAAGAGAAAATAGGATAAACCCTATTCCATTATGAAGTTATGTATTCTCTGAGGAAATGTGGATGCACTCAAATGACCTTTTCATGTACTCTAAAAAAGCGGAATCCTAGTGCATGTAACATGTAAATTACTGGGAAACAAATGACTCTGCAAAAAGATCCTCAAGCTCATGAATGCAGTTAGTCAGACATGCACATGGACAAGGCGCCACAGCATCTCTTTGCTTGTTGTCATCCTTAGCCTGTTTACATTTACTCCTAAGTCCTTGCAGGGTATTTACAGAGAAGTACAAGTGGCTCCTTAGGGGGAGAGCTGTCAGTAATGGCAGCATTCAAGGGCTGCTTCTCTGCACATGTCCAGTCATTAGCATATCATCTGGGTTGACATGTATTTTTCAAGAGAGATCTGAGCCTCTGAGCAGGTTAAGTTAAACTAAAAGAAATTAACCTGATCTGACTAGGGAATTATTTCCTTTACCTCTTTGTACCAAATAATTTTATTGAATTTAACTAAATCTTTATATTAATAAATTAGGAGTAAGCACTGAACTACTTGATATTATATTTAAGTGAAAAGTTCTTTCATCTAATAATAGCTATTTCCACAGGTTAGGAGCAGAAAGATTATGATTGTTTTAAAGCTTACTTAAAGATAGTGATGTGTATTTATTTAAAATAATTGGTTTTTACTAAAAGTCTGAGAAGTTAGGGAATTAGATTAGACTATGTGTTTTGAATAGCTGTAATAAACACCAAATTCACCTATCCTGTAAATATGCAAGTATTAATGGGGATAACAAGTCCTCGTTAAGTGTTTTTTTAATATCGATAATTATTTGTCAAGTCTTTGGTTATATATATATAAATGGTATTTATGGCAGTTGACTTTAAATGTAGACTGATAGCTAATTAAGTGTAATTGATGAACTTTTTCCATAAAGCATAAACTCACTAAATCAGATTTTGAAGGATGTAGTAAATTATTAAGTGACTTCTTATTAGAGCAATATATTTTCTCCCAGAGGCTCAGAAAAAAAAAAAAAAGAGTGAGAGAGAGAAAGGGGAAAAAAGGAAAATACTGGTAAAAACTGCAAACCAAAAAATACCTAGATTTTTCTCCAATGAATGAAATCGATGAATGCATGACTGTGAATTTATAAAAATTAGCAATTGGGGATTTACTGTATACTTCATTCCAGCTCTGTAGAGTAACCATACAATTGGTCAGCTGGCTCTTTCTGTTTGCATTATTAGTATCCAGTGCTGAATCCTGCTACTTGCAAGAATGAGGATTTCATGGTTCATCTCTTTGGTACCAAATATGTTGCTGTATATCCAGAACAGCCAAAAATTTCCAGATATGCCTGTAGTTCAAAACTCAAGTGAATGGCACAAAATTGATTAGTGGCATTTCCAAAAATGAGAAAGTGAAACAAAAATATCTTTTAAGAAACAACCAGCCAACCCCAAAGCCTAAGGAAGTACAGCAGCAAGGACAAGGATCTTTCTTTTAAAAAGAATATTGAGACATTCTGTGATACTTGTCTTCTCTGCACAACTGTAAATCAATCATTGGACAAGGAGAAAAAATTATTACATTTTAAAAAATTAAAAATCCATTATTCAGGTTTATTTATTTCTACCTGCATAGGCCACATGAGTAGATATCATGCATACATGGAAATGAAGGAGGGATATACTGCCCACAAACCCATGCTAGATTTACATAGATTTTTTAGACAAATTTGGATTTCAGTATCTGATTCTAAAGTGTTTGGTTTTAACAGTGTTTCCTCTGGTCTAATGTTTTGGGTGGTGGTAACTGTTGAGCGTTAAAAGGAGATATGTTACTAAAATTGGACTTCATGACCTGCAACCACTGCAATGTTGATTTCAGTGTAATACTCGGTAAACTGATATTAATTATCAATTAAGCAAATTAGTGATCGATGACAGCAACATACAGTTTATTTTTTCAAACTGATGAATACTGAAAAGGAAGCTTGAATGTGATGGTCTTAGAAGCTTCTTAATGCTTGAAGCATCCTGAGCATTAAATGGCTTCTTAAAATGTAATTAATCTTCCCTGGTTTTAAATACAGAAAGAACCAAATGATTGCTAAGGTCTAAATTAATTTGAAGTGATCATTTTACAGCCAATTCTCAAAAAATCTGTTTCATTATTCATGCCTAGATAACAGAAAAATTGATGGGCAGGCATAAAATTATTTCTAAACCATGAAAATTTCCACCACCACCTCCTGGCTACAGGTTATGAACTCCTTAAACTAAAGCCATATTTCCAGTACACAGCCATAACTGTTTAAGCAGATAATGTTTGTCCATGTAAGTTTGTTTTCTATTGTGATCATTCGTTGAGAGATTGTTTCTCAAAGTTAAATTACAGAATAGTTCAGCATAACTGATCTTGCATCATGTGTTGTTGTTTCCTTTCATACTTACGGCCAAAAATAAATAAGGTCTAAAAGAAATAAAGAAGGAGGCAGGGTAACAAAAGTTGTATGTCACATGTAAGCCTTTTAGCTATGACTGTCCACCAGTTCCCAGCTTTTCAGACCTGGGATATTATTTTAAAATATAAAAAGAAGTTGACATTATAATTCGTGATGGGTGGTTTTGCATTTAATTATTATTCTGAAGCTGTTCTCTAAAATGACAATAATTTAACTCATATAATACTCTGTGTTCCAAAGGCAAGGTAAAATGATTGTTTACATCAAAACACATGAACCAAGAGATATGAAGTATTTTCACATTTTAAAGAGCATGATCCTTCCTGCTCTGCTGTCCTTTCCAAGTTCAGTTCCACACTCTTGCTTTTCTCAACTGTGTTTCCTTCAGATCTTCTGTATCCTAGAACTATTGCTCTTGATCGGAACAAAAATAGTACTTTAAAAAACTACTTAAAAAAAAAAAAGGTTCCAAAGAATTTTAAAGAATGTTGCAGTAGCTCTTTACAGCAGGAAGAGTATAAACAAAATTTAAACTCAGAACTGGAGAATACTAAGTCTCATAAATATCATGAATTTGAAGTTGAAGGAATTTTTATGGGTTTTGTTCTACGGCTCTACTTTATAACTATGTCAGCTTTACAATCATTACCAGTTTTATTCTTACATTTTAAAAAATGCTCAGTTACAAAAAAAATACAAAAGAAGATAAATTAGCAGTTAAAAATATAGAGAGAAAACATTGTACTTGAAAGAGATTGAGAAAAAGGACATTGAGGGAATTGAGAAACATTTAGGGAATTGAACATTCTGTCAGAAAAAACAACAATGAATTATGTACAGAACTGTTTAGAAGTGTAGTAAAGAACAAAACAGCTTTACTTTGCAGTTAGAATAAATGATGATGAGCTGATATGACATGTAGACATGCATTTTCTTTCCTAAAGTTATCCCAAATAGATTTTGGTAAGTTGTTTTTGTTTGGTTTGTTTAAAGTGCTTTAATTCACATCATGATGTTCTCAGTAGGATCTGTTTAGAAGTCTGTTGTAAAATTAGGCAGTGCACGGCTATGAATCCAGTCTTTGTGGCACTTCTGAAAGCCGAAATCTTCATACCTAGCTGAGTTTTTACAAATATGCAGAATTCAGGCCTTAGGTGAATGCAGACAAGGCAGTGCAGGCAGCTGCTCCCCA